GGCCCTCCGGGCCCCATCTGGGCCTGGGCGGGCCGGCGGCGGGGATGGTCTCCGGCGTGGCTTCTGGGAGGCGGAGGAGATGCGACGAGTGGCTGGGTGCCGGCGACGACGACGCCGGCCTGCTGCATCGCGGCCGGCGGGGCTTAACGGGCCCGCTTCGGGCCTGGCTGGGCCAGGGGTGGCCCGGCATGCCCCGCTGCCGCGTCCGGACGGCTACCGCGACGGTGCCGGAGGCATGGATCTCCCGCACGATGGCGGTGGAGGTGGTTCCCTCCCGCTCGACGTCGGTGTTGCTGCTCCCGTCGTGGTGAGCTTCTCTCCGGTCCTCTTGGCCTCGTGGTGGTGTTCGTAGTGAGGCGGCGTGGGTGGCGGCGGTACTGCGTTGGCGCTTGGTGGTGGGCGACGGTTTGGCAGGTCGGTTCCGTCCGGTTGGGCGGTTGGGGTTGGAATGCGGGAGAAATCCCTGCCGGCTTCGGCCCCGATGTGGTGACACCTGTGGGTGCCACCATTCCTTCCTGGAGGGTGTCGGTGGTATCCACCCCCCACCTCCCTCCGCGTGCCCGGGGAAACCTGAGGACTCGTCCGGGCAGCAGCGTCGTCGGCGTCGCATCCCTTCTTGGAGGTGCTGCTTGGTACGCGGCGGATCGGAGCCTTGGTCTGTGGTGATTTGTGTCCGGTGGGCGCCGTGGTGCTGGGTCATCCGCGCTTTGCCAAGCTGCCGTAGTTGGCATTTGTTTCTTCTTCTTTTTCTTGGTGTGTTGTGCTGCTCGCCACAGCGTTATCTATACTCGATGTTGGTTGCTTTGGAATACAAAGCAGGGGAAACCCTTTTTCGGTAAAAGAGGGGGGGGGGGTCTGTCTCTGATTCATGTAATTTGTCATCTATCACGATCACTCCTTATGGTTTGTGGACCGGAAGGAACTCCTTTATTAGGCAGTCTGGGGTTAGAAATGTTCAATTACTACAAAGTGCACCAGAATTTTGTTGGGGATCCTAGTAGACCAAAGTGTGTCATTTTTGTATCTGAAAGGAAAACCGGCGGTAAGTAGGGACCTATTGTCATTTAAAATATTTGCGTTCCTACATTTTAAATGACAATAGGTAGAACCAAAGTGTGGACTCTATCTTAATCTCGGGCTAACAATGGACCATAGTTTTGAATTGTGATGAACCGCTCTCTTGTGACTAAGATAACCCATGCATGAATCACAATTATGAGTGCTACTGTCTGAACTACCAGATTCATCAGTTCGTCCTAGTGAAATCAATGACGTGGTAAGTAATGGGGAAATCGACCGTACACCCTCCCTAACGACCTAACTGTGGAGGGCGGTTGTATGTTGCGTACCACCATTGAAGCAAACGACCAACCCATGCTAGAGACAAGGCAGACTAGATGGAGACAAAGGGGACAAGGATCTCATGGCGGAGAGTAACAGGTTTTGGTGTTGGAGATTTAAGTCGTCACGACCGTCGTCGCTTCCGCAGATCCGAGTCGTCACTGGTGCCGAGAACCGAGTCTGGATTTTTCGTACCGCTAGAAAAAAAGAGCCACTGGGGAGTAGCCCATGCCCTATATATCTCTACTCTTAATGGAGCAGTTGGTAGGATTGCGTCCACGGGTTTTTTTCGTCCCACCATTTTCATTCGGTTTATTTTCATCTGGTTTATTTTCGTCCCACCTCCGACTGTCATATCCTCATGTTGGTTTTTTTACCCTCCCAATAAAAACTTTCCTAACCTTTTCAAACATTCCAAACTAGACATGTTACAAATAGGCAGGATCCGATAACACTTATCAAACAATAATCATAGCAATCAATTCCAAATCCTAATTTTCCTAAATTGTCGATCCTCGCCTTTTCTAACAACAAATATATGCAGCGGCGTGGGAAGGCAGTGCCGTGGCGAATTTTATTCCGTCGACCAGTTTCCTTTAGTTCAACGGGACGGCACTCTATCTTCTTCATCCTCGACCCCGGCCTCTTCGGACGTCAATGTGATGTCGTCGCTGGACAGAGTGACGTGCTGCTACTCGCCGGCCAATGACAGCTCTGTTCTTAGTGGGAACCCCGCCCACTGCGTCCTGGGCGGTCGTCCCGCCCCCGCGCACTGCCATGGTTATCATCTTCAACACGATACTCGTCGCCCTCGTCCCTCTCGTTTCATGCTCGCCTATCTCGCTGCCCGTTGCCTCTCAGCGGCGGCTACCCTAGCGGCAGTTGCGGAGGAGATGGATCCTCAATCCTCACCCGCCTCAAAATAGGCTCGGCGCCCTCCTCGTGATTTGTGGCGGCGGCCGCGGCACTGCCTTCCCACGCCACTGAAGAGGCCCCCAGGGCGGTCGAACACGCCTTTAGAGTCCTTCCGAAGGCACAGCTTGTCGGGGCAGCGGCGTGGGCAGCATGGCCGTCGTCTGGTTCAGGTGCTACCTCCGGCTGCTGGACAATCAGGCGCTGGAGTGCGCGTTGGTGGCCTCTGGCACGGTCTTCACCAACGGCAGGGGCTCGCCGACGCTGCAGTGCTGCAAGGCGGTGGTCGGGGTGATCTGCACCAGCGTCGACTGTGTGTGCCTCATCCTCACCGGCAACATGGCCTTTGGCCTCCCCATCAACAACCGCACTGTCGCCATCTCCCTTCCCAAGATCTGCAAGTCACTCTCCGTCCCGCTCGTTTGTAGAGGTTGGTTTATACTTACAACAATTTATTTTCATTCAAAACATCTACGTCTGATTAACGAAAAAAGTCTTTGCCCATTCCATGCTTGTGATGTGCAGATACAGCGGCGCAGATCCCAGCTCCAGATTGCTTAAATTCTCCTTTGTCGACCTTGCCTTGACATCGCCACAGTACTGACCACGGACTGTACATTAATATTACTATAGTGAATTAACTTGCAGGGCCTACTGCCTTCGCTCCGACACTGCCTCCTCTGCATAAGTATCTTCAATGGCCTTCTAATAGTACCATATCCATATCGAAGTTGCACACTCATTTGGTCTGAATAAATGTCTCACAATTCTTCCACACTATTGCCGCCGGTGGATGAGAAGGCGCCGCCGCCGTCAGTGGAATCGACGCCGATCGTGCAGGGGAAGAGCCAGGTGGTGGTGCCCATCATACGTTGGTAGATATGTTTTTGCAAATCTCTGTTCCAATTGGTAGTGTTTGCGTCCACGGTTTTTTTTCGTCCCACCATTTTCGTTCGGTTTATTTTCATCTGGTTTATTTTCGTCCCACCTCCGACTGTCATATCCTCATGTTGGTTTTTTTACCCTCCCAATAAAAACTTTCCTAACCTTTTCAAACATTCCAAACTAGACATGTTACAAATAGGCAGGATCCGATAACACTTATCAAACAATAATCATAGCAATCAATTCCAAATCCTAATTTTCCTAAATTGTCGATCCTCGCCTTTTCTAACAACAAATATATGCAGCGGCGTGGGAAGGCAGTGCCGTGGCGAATTTTATTCCGTCGACCAGTTTCCTTTAGTTCAACGGGACGACACTCTATCTTCTTCATCCTCGACCCCGGCCTCTTCGGACGTCAATGTGATGTCGTCGCTGGACAGAGTGACGTGCTGCTACTCGCCGGCCAATGACAGCTCTGTTCTTAGTGGGAACCCCGCCCACTGCGTCCTGGGCGGTCGTCCCGCCCCCGCGCACTGCCATGGTTATCATCTTCAACACGATACTCGTCGCCCTCGTCCCTCTCGTTTCATGCTCGCCTATCTCGCTGCCCGTTGCCTCTCAGCGGCGGCTACCCTAGCGGCAGTTGCGGAGGAGATGGATCCTCAATCCTCACCCGCCTCAAAATAGGCTCGGCGCCCTCCTCGTGATTTGTGGCGGCGGCCGCGGCACTGCCTTCCCACGCCACTGAAGAGGCCCCCAGGGCGGTCGAACACGCCTTTAGAGTCCTTCCGAAGGCACAACTTGTCGGGGCAGCG